AACGTATTTCTCAAGTTCATAGATAAAGTAGTACTCTGATGAGGTGCTAACATATCAGTAAAAACATTAACTACGATTGAAATTGTATCTGTGTTAAATATCCACCAAGCCTGAACATAATCACATGCTATCCACACATTCTTATCTGCTGATAAATCTTTTAACTTGTTAATCAGTGCACTCCACATTTCAGCTGTGGTTTCATATCTAATTACTGTCTGTATATCATCAACAAACAAATGATAACCACTCAGTACACTGAGTCTATCTGTTAACTGTGTGGTATTTGTAAAGTCTGTTATCTCCACAATAATAACACTACACAAACTCTCTGTAATCAGATCAGCTAGTTGTGCGGGAGTGTGATTATCTTTACTAGTGCTTATCAGTTCATATTCTATACTAGCTTTATCCAATGCATGTTGATAATACTGTGAATTGTTCCCTGTTCCTGTAAACTTAAATACAACTACCTTATTGTCACTATCAGATTGTATTAGCTGTATTATCTTACCACACAATATGACAGTCTTTCCCGCCCCTGCGGGTCCGTTGATCCACAACATATTCTCACTTGAATTAAACACATCATTTTGTTGTGTGGTTAAATTGAGAACCCCAACGTATCTGCTTATGACATCAGGAGCTTTTACAACCCCGGGATTTTGTTCACGTTTTTTACCTTTCTTAGGTTCGAAAGTTATTTGACCTTCCTTAAGTTTTTTGTTAATATCCAAAATACATCGTCCTAAACTGCACTTAGATTGATCACATTTGTTTCCGTCTGTGGCCCATATGGCTAGTAAAATGTTCCTTGCTTTCTCATGAGAATCTTGATTGTATCCAGATATTGGTATTTCTGTATTCGATACTGTTTCTTCAGAAACTCTTCTAATAGATGATATGGCCTGAGTTACATTTTCTGCCCACCAAGCATTAAAAGTAGATAAGTCCTCATCTGTTTTAACTAATTCCCTGTTTGATGGATTATTGTCTGAGTCAGAAATGACTTCTCCTTCACTGCTCGTGTCATCTGTATCAGTGGTTTTATTGCAGCAGCGAGAAAAGCAACTTACTAAACGAGAAAAATAGTTTTGTTCTGGATAAGTCTGCTCCGTTAAACTTGTCGCCAAGTTTATCGAGGGTTCCTTTGAAAAATCAAATTTGTTGTGACAATAGGAAATGTCCTCTTCAAATATGATAGTCGACAGTTCATCATCACTTAACCGGGATTCAGTCATCTCACTAATTTGAAACTGTTCTTTAAATTTGTTACTAAAATTAGGGTACGCTGTAAACTGAAGAATAGTTGCGTCCTTGTCAATACATTTAATCAGTTCCACTAGCTTATTTCTCTGTTCGGCTGACTTCCTGTACGTACCAATCAATGCCTGCAATTTTCTAGTTGTACACTCAGGTTGCCAGTCCTCGCCAATAGAACACAAGTGGAAGTCTGGTTCACATTCTACGATATCTGGTCCACTCGTCCCTATATCAACATGCTCCATATTCTTTACCTCGATAATGACAAAACTGTCCGCACAAACGATGACAAAGTCGCATTCCCCCTCCTGTTTTTCTGCATTTTTGCCTTTACATTTAGAACATATTTTTCGAATATGACCTTCAGTACCTACACACAAACGATATTGATGATGTGTGTATTTGAAGCTGTGAACGATAATATAGTTTTTATCTAATCCTAATTCTAAAGCCCTATACATTTTGACTTCAGTCTCGTAGTCTGACTGATGTCGTTTGTCATCTGTAAAGCTGGAACCAGGTTGATTCTCGTCTGGATATATATCTATGTAGGTTTGCTCTGGTGCTCTTGGAAGCATTGTGGGCTGGTTTTCTGCCTTTGCGCAATATTTTTCGAATATTAGTTTGCCATTTTCCAAATATTTATTCATTGTTGATTAGTTAATATATCTGAAATGAAATCAGCTGTAATATTTAGGAGTGATGCAGATTAAAAATGAAAGAATCAAGGATTAATACTTAATATGTTTATACTGTATCACACGACTCTCGTAGTACCAGTACCTAATTATTGAATTTAGTCAACTTCCAAAATGACTTACCATTTATTTAAAGTGGTCGTTTATTACCTTGAAATAGTGGGTCCGATGTTGGTTTTAGTGGCGTGTTTCCTTCTTGTCCTATAAAGCAGTAGTTAAGTTATGTAAAAAACGCCAGGTGTGCTCGAATAATTACATACTATGAGCAGCATTTAAATGATAAGATTCTCTCTGGTATGACTTGCTATTATCACTCATTCGAGGAATACATCAAATCAAATAACAACAATGTTAATTTTTCCGTATGAACATTCATTTTTGCGGTTTTTGGATATTGTTAATAGTTAGATCAAGTCGAATTGTAATGTAATGATTTTAATAAACTTCAGGAGACTTGTCCTGAAAAAATGGGGGATCCTGTTACTAAGATGAATGACATCAAGAGCTTATTGATCATTACGCGGGATCAGGTGATTAGGTTGACGCTAGATGCGCAGAATCGTGCAGAGAGCTCAATCATGGTGTCGTAGCAAGCATATGATAAACAAATTGTTTGATAACTTTGTCATTTTAAATCCGTTTCTTTTAGTTTTGAGATAATGTTTCAGATTTAATGACTTATTAAAAAATTTATAGCATATAATGGAGATGATCGCAAACACGAGTATAAGCAATTCAATGATGATTGGGTGTGGCCTCTAAAGATCAAAATTTCAAATTCTGGTGACGGAATGCTTGAATGAGTAGTTATAGTATACCATTTATAAAATATAGCTATGCTATAAGACCCAACGTATGCGTATAACTGATTTTTGACAATTTCCTGTCTACCAACAAAACAATCCGATGTTCCTTGATGGAAATTTGGTCAAAACAAGCCTGAACAGTAAAATTACCATTTATTACTTTAAAAATGTATAAAAACACAGCCGTTTCAGGTACGATATCAAGATACACACAGCTTTAACTAGATATGAATAAAGTTCGTTCAAAATGTCAGCTCAATACCACACGAAATGATTAACATTTAATGAAACATTTGCCTCTCCATAAAACGAATTGTGCTTTCCGAAAAATGCACTTTGACCAGGAAATGCTCGATTACAAAAATGGGAATCCTCGTCCATCAAAACAAATTTGTTGGTGAGGAAACGGTGCGCTAGATGGTCAATAAACTTTTGGTGTATGCCCCCTTATCAAAATTACATAAACAAGTATTTTAATTTGGTACCTGGGGTTGAGAGACTGTTAAGATTGTTTGAGTTGGTTCTATCCTTTCTTTCTGTGTACTAACTCCTGAAATTCTCCATGTTGTTTTCTTATACTTTTTAAGGGGACATACACCAAAACCTTCTTTGCCGGGATTCGGGAGTTGACTTCATATTATGAAAATATAAATAAAAACAATAAAATTTGATGCATTGACAAATTTGGTACGGTAAAATGTGTCACTGAAATACCGATAAGTTTTTTTGGCTTAATTTTTTACTGAACATTACTTACAATCCGTATACAAAAAGCCCTCCAAAGGATTATATAATTGAACAATAAATGACGAAGTTACAAACCGAACAAGGTCGAGTCTCGACTCGAGAGAAGCAAAATTGAAATTTTTGCTTACTATTAACTTATTAAAGTTGTACATTTTAGCAATCACCCAGGTCATAAGATATCGCTTTAAAAATTCTTGTGAGTGTAGCTGATAATCATATTTAACTTTTTGGAACAGGATGTCTCTCAATTTTGAGTTTTACGGTATGAAATCTGGCCTCAAAGGTTTTAGTAAAATTTACGTAAAAAAGGGCCAAAAATGACAGATTTAAGGCTTAAAATGCCTATATCTCAAATAGTATCAGTTTTTTTGAAATAATTTTTACAGTGACGTAATTAGCTTGATAAGCTCTTTAAGTATTACAAATTTGGAACTAAAAGTTTTAAAATGACTAAATCATCGGTATTTCAGTGACAGACTTAACCAAATTTTTTTTTAATTTCCAAAAAGAATTTTTTTTCGAAAGTGCGTTCTCTCAAAAAAATGTGTCAATGCATCAAATCTTATTGTTTTTATCTATCTATACTATAATTTAAACTTGACGAAATTTCCCCGGCAACGGGGACATAGAAGAAAAAACACCGAAAATCGACCTCAAAATGACCCTCTGGTGAAATCAAACCCAGCTCGCAAATGGAGTTGAAACCTCGCCATTTTTAGCAGGGTTGTAGAAAAAGGATAGGAATAGGCTATAGCATTCTTAGAATTTTGATTTAGGCTTTAGATTTTTTATAATTAACGTCGGAAGTGAGGTAAAATAACCGTTAGAATAATGTCGTTATTTTAGCAAAGGTTTACTGCGCTGTTGCGTAGCAACGTTAAAATGCACGTGCGCGAGCAAAAACATCTTAACTACGCGCGTTGTTATGCTGTATGCTACGTCATAATTTCAAAACTAGCTCACATTTACGCTAACGCTATGACTTATATTCATAACTTTGGTTGTGATTGGTTTTTTTTGATGCGGTAAAAAGTATCGTTTTGGGAATCCGAATACTAACAACGCTGTCGCCATTGTTAGATAAATTCCATTATGTCTACAGTATAACAGAGCTATATGATGAAGAGAAATTAAAACATAACTGATTTTTAAAATTTCTTCGAACAAAGCTTTCGACTAGCGGGTTTCTAGTATGTTCATAATATGAAGTCAAATTCCGAATCCCGGCAAAAAAGGTGTTGGTGTATATACCCTTAAGTGGCATATTCATGGCAACTGTGTCTGTAGTTTATAATAATGTAAAATAAGCTGTCATGTACCGTTATTGAATTGCAATTAGTTTACTGAAATTTAGGGTATAATTGTGCTAAAAGATTGAGTAGTCTGAACACTAAAACATTCACAAACTTGATAAAATAGGCCTAGGGTAGAGTCTTCACAAGATTGACTACAGGTAGAAAGTAGTTGCTTGAACAAGTTGTTTTGATCCTCTACTTCTGTCCACTGAAATCTGATATACTCCACGAGAGTCTCTTAATCTTATCGCTTTAAAATGACGTGCTGGCTGTCGTATTCTAAAATGACACTAACTAAAATATCCCTCAAATTAATCAATCAATTAATTAACTAATCAAGAACCCGTATGGAAAGAAGAGTGAGTTGTCTGAATACAGCCAAACATTCATATAGCTAAAAGTAAAAACCTGGAGTAGGTAAGATCAGTCTCCACAAGATAGATTGCAGTTAGGATTTAGGAAATAGTATTCCTCTCAGAACCGTTTTTAAATGTTCGTAAAATTCGGTCACTGAAATCATGTGCTATCAATAACCAACTGTGATCAAAGATTGAAATAAATGTATTATTTGGTTTACAACAATTTTAGTCAAAATTTTGACTAAATTTATGGTCGACTAAATTTGTCGTTCTCAAGGTATCACTATCCTTACTTGGCAAAACCTTTTAATTATAAATCTTCCATGTACCAATAAGTTATAAATGTTTCACCGACAAGAATGCGTCAATTTAAACAGGTCAACAAATCAGGCCGGGTTTAGTGAAGCATTTTAATTTGGTACCTGATGTTGAGAGATTGTTAAAATTGTCTGAGTTGGTTTGATCCTGTCTTTCTGTGCACTGAATTCTGAAATTCTCCATGTTATTTTCTTAAACATGATTAGTAGTATACAATATAAATAGTATATAATTAGCTGTACCGTAATTGAGTCGCAATTAGTGTAACCCTACGGCCGGGACCTCATTATCGCAGTTGAAATGCAAAAGTATAAACCCGCCTATTATATTCGAAAATATACATAACATTGTCGTATGAAAGTATGAACTCTCTCTACAGTCCAAACAGACCGCAATAAGTGTACCGCCCCCTCTCCCCCTAATATGCTTATAGTATTACACAACAGTAAATCTTGCGGCTAACCTAATTATGATTTATGTACCAATGCTGGCTGCTGCCTATGCAGTAATGGGAGAGAGCGAGGAGGGAGAAAAAGTAAGTCATTTTATGTCAAATTTGTAGTACAAAACCATCAATTAAACCACTTATATTACCACCGGCCTATTTTTTAAATTTGCTTATAGGCTTCGTCCGAGTTTTTTTCTAAATTATACCGAAAAAACCAGTCCCATGACTCTTACCGTTTTCCTAATTAAGCCGCTCGGAAATTACGCGCAGACAGACGAACAGACAGACACACATTCTGAGATTATTATTGAGATTGCTAAATCTAATTAATAATAATTCGCGAAGGAAGATTAAGTTGTATGAACACTATAATGTCCACAAACCTGATAATCTAGGGTATGATAGATCAGTCAAGTTAGGAAGTAGTTTCTTGAATAAGTCGTTATGATCCTCTACTTCTGTTCTCTAAAATCTGATAAAGTTAAAGTTAAATAAACTCCACGTGAGTTTTTTCTTATCGGCATCGCTTTAAAATGGCGTGCAGGCTGTGGCTCTAATTCGCTCGCCCAAAAATTATCACGTGACTTTGGTTTTTATTGTTTTGCAGCCGAACAAAACGGTTTTACATAAACCTTAATCCCAACCCTAACCATAACCCCGACTCTATTCATAACCCTAGGCCTAACCACAACCTTAACCCGAGCCCTAAACAATTGAATTCGTGTTTTACTAGCCTGTCACGTGACCAAAACGGTTTTTTGCCGGTTGGGCGAGCGATTTAGTGGGAGCGGCTGGCTGCCGTATTCTAAAATGACACAAACTGAAATTTCCCTCAAAAAATATCAACTAATTAATTACCCAATCAAGAGCCAATATGAAAAGAAAGTTGAGTTGTCTGAACACTATAAAACATTCACAAACCTGATATCCTTGGCTCTTCACAAGATAAGTTCTGGTTACAGTTAGGAATTTGGAAATAGTTTTCCTCTCAGAATCGTCTGTTAAAGTTTCGTACAATTCAATCACTGAAAACATTTGCATTCAATAACCATGAACTGTACTCAAAAATTGAAATATGTATATCTTAAGTTATGATGACCTTCGTTAGGTTTATTGTTATGATTTAGTTGTAGCTTAAAATCCACTTTGGTATTAATTATAATATGCAGTTAGTTTATTAAAAATATGCCAAAATTTAAATGAGATTTATAGCTTGGTAAAACCTCTTTACTATACATTTTTCACGTACCTGCCAAGAAGCTATAAATGTTTCGCCGACAAACACTCGTCAATTAAAACAAGTTAACAAATCAGGCTGGGTTTAGTGTAAGCTTACTAGGTCTCAAGAAAAAGAAATGGGTCAGAGCGAACTGAACACGATTCACGAGTCTCTCGAGTATAGGAACATGATATTATTATGAGTCACGTGCGCTTCACATGACCTGCCAGAGAGTGCTCTGGATAGCAGGTTAGGTAACTTGATGAGTAACGTGACATTTCATTATATCACTGTGGTGTTATATTACTCAACAGTCAACAGTACTCTCTCTTCAAATTCAATGTTTTATATCCTGAAGTATATGATATAATTATATTCTATATAGCCTGGTGGTGTTGTATGGTCATTGTGGCAGTTGCAGTTCCACATCAAAAGAATTGAACGTGGAACTGATAGAAAACATAATTTCATTGCGAACAGCTGCCCATTATCCGGTAAAACACAGCAACTTCTAGTTCTATGGTTGGGTATTGTCAACCATGTGACAATCATTGAGAGACGGGGAGTATGATTATGAAAGGACCGTGAACGATGACGAAAGATAAGAGGAGATAAGAGGAAGCTGACGCATCTGAGAGATCACGAGGAGCGAGGCCCTAATGGTAATAAACTTGAGACTATATATATGTGGAAATTTATTGAAGTGTTTACTTTTTTATGGGACATGTTGTTTTACCCATATTCCTATTGTACCGTTTATACATACCATTTACTGAATACCCAATTTAGTGTCGTATTCTAAAATGACACTTACTAGTAGTAATAGTAGTAGTAGTAAACCCGCGATGGGGTGGCAATTTTATCTTAAATAATAATCTCATGGTTATGGTTAGCTTCGGGGTTAATGTTATGGTTACTGTTAGGGTTCCGGTTAGGGTTAATATTAGGGGTTTTGTAAAACCGTTTCGTTCGGCTGCAAAACCAATACCATGAGCAAAACCAAAGTCACATGATAATTTTATTTTAGCTTTAAGGCGAGCGAATTAGTAAAAGACAGTGGCCGAGACATTTAGCGTGAACTGTCGCAAACCGATATTTAGCGCTAAATTTGAACTGTCGGAAACCGACATTCACCGCTATCTAGCTCTAAATAGCGCTAGATGTCGCCGCGTCATATGTCACCGCGTCATATGTCGTCAGATGTTGCGGCGACATATAGTGCTAGATAGCGCTAAATGTCGCTAGATGTCGCCCACATAAAAGGCCAGAAATTCTATGCAAATAGCGCTAGCTGTCGCCTGGCGACAGTGTCGCGTGCGTTAAATGACGCTAGATAGCGTCATCTAGCGTCATTTAGCGTCATTTAGCGTCATGTAGCGCTATCTAACGCTAAATGGCGACATTGGAAAGGTGCCACGCAATTAGCGGCATTGTCGCTAATTGACGCTATCTACTTCTAGCGTCATCTATCATCACCTGACGTCATTTCACGCTAGATGACGCTAAATCTATGACGCTAGATGTTTTTAATAGATTTCGATGATCACGCTGGACGGTATATCAATAGAATATACAATAATACAATAGAAAGAAAAATAAAAACGGTGCAAACTCTAACAAAAAAGACAAAGCTGTTACAATGATAATCATTCCTACACCCCTGTGTTACAATGATAAGCAACAGATAAGAGATGCAGCAGTAACTATGGTAACAATGATAATGCAGCAGCTTTAAACCCAACTCAGTACCTGACCAGTCTGCTTCCTAATTCTTTGACCTGTTTCTAGAACATTCACCTGGGGAGTTCAATTGAATACGGTTAAGTGCAAATTGACAAAAAGGCAAGATTGATAGAAAATATAACTGCGAGACTATGAGATGTGGTGAAGAGTCAGGTGAATAGCATGGTAACCATGGTAACTTGGTATGGTAACCATGGTAACTATTTAGTATTAGTACGACGTTTTAGTTGTAACGATTAGGTCGGGCAGTTAAACAATCAACTGGCCGATGGATAACACTGAGGCAATGGTAAATAAGCGGCCAATGTAACCATGGTAACTTGGTATGTAATGGTAACCAGTAACCACGGCCAATGTAACGAGTCAAATAAAAGCAAATAATTGGCCGCCGTGCCACTCTACTCCACCCCAATAAAGCAATAATGAGCTGCAGATCAATTCCTGGAGCTGCAAGGACAGCTGGTCTTCCATAAAAACTATCGTCTCTCAATCGAGCAGCTTTGTAAATAGGCTACCTGGGAGTTTCTATTCGACTACTACTACTAGATAGCGCAAATCAATGCTCTTAATTCTAGATCAATTATCCAGATCACTCATTTGAGATCCTTCCCATCGATATCATTGGTCACTTCCAGCCGGATTCGATTAAATGGCAACCCATCATGTGTGACGGATTAACGGTTCAGTAAATTATTCCAGCATATGCAATTATCCTATATTTTCTCTGTAATTGTGATATGAAATTAGTGAAGCCTTGGCGAGTTAAATTGAACAGCGGGCTACTTCCTGAAGATTTTGAGAAAATTTTTAGCTCTCCGAGTTTTTGTCTTAAGTAGACTTATAACGTTGTAACTTGTAAGTCTGAGCTTTAACAATTTGACATTCCAATGGTATTAGATATTAGTGTAATAAGTAGAAGTGATAGACAGCATTTTAAAGTTTAAACAAAAGAATCACAAATAGTGAAAATCCGCACAATAAATTACAAAGTAACTAATTACAAACATACATTTTCCGCGAGAGTTTCTCACGAAAAAGCTATATTAATATAGATGTTTTCTAAAACAAAAGCGAACTTATTTCACATGTAATACGCCTGTAAAATCCGACCACTCGACTATGTATCAAGATTCAAGTTGTTACTCTGATGTCAAAATTCAAAAAACAAATTATAGGATTTACCAAGGCCCCATGTAAAGGAGGGCCAATTTTAGCTGATTTGAGGAACACTACCGTTCCAATATTAGCTGATTTGAGGAACACTACCGTTGAACCGGCTATCATCTGTCCAGGTCGTGCAGGACAAGAGAATCCTGCTCAGCTGCTTCTCTCCTTCTCACTTGAGGGCTGAAATTAGAGGTTGTTGTTCAACTAAATCTGTGTTGTTGTTCAACTAAATCTGTTTTTACTTGATAGAGTGCTTATCTTAAATGTTTTTACAGGCTCTAATGATGTCATTTTACGAAGATTTCAAGCCTTACGTTGTGTGTTTCGTGTCCAAAAGCATTATAAATCTGTTTTAAATAACTCAGCCTTGGGAATTTACAAATTTACATCGCTAGAACATAATTATCCCAATTCCCACACACACAAGGCTGGTGTTGAGCTCCCTTCTGACAGAATTTCTCAGACAAATTTACTGTTGTCTCGGAATCAGCTAACGTTAGAAATTATGATCCATAATTATGAAAATATCAATATGCAATTTGTCCTATTATACGCATGGTTCGCATGGTTCGCATGGTTCGTAAAATCAAAGGCTTTTTTATTTATTCGTACTTATTTGATTTATTGATCGGTTCTTCTCAGGTAAATAGTGTTTCTAGTTCCATTACATATATTTATAAACTGTCATGACACAATCAGAATAATCTGAAGTTTGTTCATTTGCTCGTCAGACCAGATACAAGGTTTACAAGGTGTACAAGGTTTAGGTTTACCAGATATAAACCAGCTATACTAGTATAGAACAAGGATTCGTAAAAGTAAAACTGCCCTAGTTTGAGAGGTGTGAACTATACACTTGATTAATAAGGTTTTACTACTCATTGATCAATTATGATGCTACATAGACTCTGAACTGACAAAATGGTTTTGAATTTCACCCATCAACAAAAAGTAGCAATTAAAACACAAGGATTCCTTTTAATGTTGTGGATAAAACCAATTTTCATCCCATTTGCAGTGGCGTCAATCGTTGCGTTTTCGAGTTATTTTTGCGGGCTGCAGCAGTTAAAGACTGGAAGACATTTGAGTAAGACCACACGGCACTTATGTTCTAACAGCTCTTTCTCTGTGTAAGCAGCCTACCCTAAAGTTAGTTAAAATATCAGTACTAGGATCGGAAATAGGATTACCTGGTTGGCAGAGCAGGGAGATTAAAACTATCGAAAGTTTCTGTCAGTTTGTTCTGATTGATTGGCAAAGATCTCGACCTGGGATTTGACATAATATTCAAATCCAATAAATAGAGATAATTTTACACATGCTAAATTGTTCAGCTGCAGATGACAAGACTATTAATATAAAATGAAGGAAGGTTCCACCTGGGATCAGCAGAAGTAGCCCGGGGTTTAAGAGGGTCCCCAGTTTGAAGAGATTGGCGACTGTGAGGTCGTACCACACAGACTGAGGAAACAGGGCGGTGTCTCCGGGAGGGTACTGGACCCATTGGGGCTGCTAACGGGTCCTCTAGCACAGAGGACACTGATCTGACTCGGGAGATCCGGCCAGGTGGAGGAGGCGTGTCAGAGATTGTAGAGAGATTACCCTGTGGAGGAGGCGTGTTAGAGATTGTAGAGAGATTACCCTGGGGAAGAGGCGTGTTAGATATTGTAGAGAGATTACCCTGTGGAAGAGGCGTGTTAGAGATTGTACTTGTAGAGAGATTACCCTGGGGACGAGGAGAGTATCTGTTATTTCCTTAAATTTAATAATCTGGTTTCTCAACCATACTCTTACAATTGAGTGCATCAATTTTATCGATGTCTGAAATAATATCACACTGTTCGACCAAGAAACTGTATCAGCTTACCTCGGAAGAAGCGTGGGATAGGGAGAAAGGAAACTGTAGCAGCTTACCTCGGAAGAAGCGTGGGATAGGGAGAAAGGAAACTGTAGCAGCTTACCTCGGAAGAAGCGTGGGATAGGGAGAAAGGAAACTGTAGCAGCTTACCTCGGAAGAAGCGTGGGATAGGGAGAAAGGAAACTGTAGCAGCTTACCTCGGAAGAAGCGTGGGATAGGGAGAAAGGAAACTGTAGCAGCTTACCTCGGAAGAAGCGTGGGATAGGGAGAAAGGAAACTGTAGCAGCTTACCTCGGAAGAAGCGTGGGATAGGGAGAAAGGAAAGGTTACCCTGTGGAGGAGGCGTGTTAAGTGATATCTGTAGCAGCTTACCTCGGAAGAAGCGTGGGATAGGGAGAAAGGAAAGTCGTCTTTGGAGAAGATGCTCTCTGATAGAGGTCTGGGGTTCCTTGTACACTGGCTATTGTCTTGAATATACGAACATGTGCTGTGGGAGATGATAGTCAATAGTTATCATGCTAGCTCCTGGTCCTTAATTAAGAGCCCCTCTTTCAATTAAACTTACACAGAAAAAGAAGAAAAAGAAGAATTCATGTCAGATGGTCATATAAATTGTGATTGTTACTTGTTGTATACGAAAGGAATGTCTGGGTATACGACATGATAGTGACTGGAATTGCATGAGAAAAGTCACAAACCTCAGCATAAGAGCCGCTTTATCCTCGACAGAACATGCGGAGGGACTTCTGTCAAACAGGTCTCCTCCATCAGAAATACTTCTAGCTACACTACTACACCTGAACATTTAGGCTAATCTTTAGTTATGTCCAATTACAACTTATGTTCCCCGTTACAAATATCGCGTCACATTTTAGTGACGATTTAGAATAGTTCTGAATATTTAATCTACGTAATCTAGTTAAAACTATAAAAGTAACCAGACCTCCTACTACAATCCAGACCATCGGTAGACCAGCTGGCTTTCACCGCTGAGCTTGTGATGACGTGAGGCTGTTTCCCCTGCATCAGAGCTGATAACATCTCCTTCGCTATGTAACCCTTCGCTTCTTGAAGCCTGGGAGAGATACAGTTTAAATGTTCTCCGATGTCAGGCGAAGAATTTTGTGTCAAACGAAGGAGATGTTTTTTAAGTTTTAAATTAGTCCCTGGATAGATAAAACTAGCCACAAACTAATTTGTATATATTTGTTACATTTTCTCTCGATGTTTTAATCTTTTGAATGGTGTATTGTTCGTACCCACCACAAGAAAGAACTCTTTATATCAAGAAGGAAGAACACTGCGCTTTAAACGTTGGCATGGATTAACTCTTGCCAAGAGTTAAAACATGAACACTGTGCCCAAATATGTCCGAATATGTACCTATTATACGCCGCTTTAAGAGTGAAGAGTTCGTCACACTTTTTGAGATAACGTTTCCGGAGGTCTTTGTTATCAACAAGTAGACTACTGAGTTGCTGGTTGTACTTCTGGTCCACTTCATGTACCTGCCGTGTGACACGTTACAACTGCTATAAAGGACGGAAAAACGATATCGAATAAGGGTAAAAAGTAAAAACTGAGTCCCAGCTGAAATATATGTATAATCTTCATGTAAATCAGCTGATCGCAGGTCTCTTCTGGAAATAGACCACGCTAACTCCTTTAGCCTGACATTTGAAGTATTATCACTTCTGCGAAAAAGGAGCTTAACAACTCCAACAAACCTTGTGTAGTGTAACTAGTAGTTACACTACTAGTTACCATAGTTACACTAACTCCAACAAACCTTATCAAAGAAGCTCTCTTGCAGCTGCTTTAGCGCTGATTTGTGAGAAGCCAGCTCGTTCATTATGCTCCTCATGTCTTCCTCCATCTTCCTCTGTGCTCTCTTGTAACAAATTATCTGCAACTCTTGTTCCTGTACAAATGAATAATTATCTCCTGTGAGGGGTATATGTCTGAAAAATATAGCTCAGTTCTTAAACCAATTTCTAGTCCTGTTTTAATTTAATCGCAGAATTTCAAATGATAAAAGTGGCGCCTCGTATTGAATGCATATATAAATAATAAAGAAAAAAAATCTGTTCGTTCATAAGCACAAATTTTAGATCATCGGTTACATCATATTTTTTTCAGCATGGATTGAATTCTGGCGGTCTGAGAACCTAGACTTTTACGTCATGACAGTTCAAACTTTAAATAAGGGCAGATGAGGTAAATACATGTATTAAAATTTAATCTGGAAAGGCTCTCGTGGTGACTCCGCGAATTGAGAGCAAAAGTTCATGATTTACATGTTATGTAATTAGTAATAAATAAATAATAATAATGAATAATTATTTACATGATATGTAAGTTTAAAGGTGTTTAACTGAAGCACACTCGCCGCTTGCAATTACTAATATCAGCATGATTCTACCGTTTAAAACTGTTATTCAGGAGATTACCAAGTTTCCCTTTTCCTATCTCCCAATTAAATTAAATTAAAATTAGTAATGCTACACTCGTTCACTTTTTCTAACCTACCTGAATAAGAGCACGATTGGAGTCAACCTCTTCTAAACTAATCCCTTCAAATGTTTTGAGAATTTCTTCAACTTCTTGGGAGTGCTGCTGTTTCAGTAGGGTTATATCCGCCTCCAGCTTATTTTTCAGGGTTTCCAGCGCCAGCTCTTTTTCTTTTATCAGCTTTTCCTCTGATAAGGAGTAGTTTATAAAGGAGTAGTTTATAATAATTAATCAATTAATAATAACCGAAACAATATCCACTCTACTAATCTAGAGTAGTAGCTACTACTCATCCCGTCTCATTGCTTAACTCCTTCACAAGAAATTGGCCTGTTAGCTGGCTTTCTAATAATTTACGTTTATTTCAGTCCATATTCTACAAGAATAACCTCTTTGTCGAACAAATCAGGGAACGAATCGCAAAAATAAACATCATTTCAAAAATAATCATCGCAAAGAAATATCAAAAGAAATTTTGAAGGAATAATCTTCGGTACAAGTTAACCTGTCTTCGATTTATAAACTTGATTGAGAGATGTCAATTATGAGTTGATTTGATAACACTAATAATTAGATTTAGAGGTTTTTAATTTCACTCATCAACAAAAATTATCAATGCAAACACAAGGATTCGTTTTAATGGTGTGCATAAAACCAATTTGTAACCCATTTGTAGTTGCCAAAGACCAAAGAAACAGGGTTTTCCCGAGCCCATTTATTTTTGCGGGCTGCAGCAGTTTAAGACTGGAAGACATTTGAGTAAGACCACACGGCACTTATGTTCTAACAGCTCTTTCTCTGTGTAAGCAGCCTACCCTAAAGTTATAGTCCGAATATCGGAATTTGGTTCACCAAGTAGAAAACAGTTCAGCGAAGTATTATAGCTCCTAATATATAATATACTGCTCCTTCATAATATACTGCGTCCCACAATCACTATTTAGAAAACTCACCTAGATCCCTGAGGAGTTTTGTTTTCTCTGTCTGATGTTTGAGATTGAGGTCACTGTGCAAATCCTGTAATTCCTCGCTGTGTCTCATCTTCAGCTTATCCTGTATGCTCTACAGTACAGAATTTGAATGATCCAGAAAAAATCAAGGCTAATGAAGTCGTGAAGCACAGACAATGAACCAATTTGTTAAAACGCTGCCAATATCAACAATTGTTCTTAATTTTAAAACCTGCCTCACAATGATAAACCACAATCTCACGCCAATGTTGTATTTATTTCGGCTAAGATCAATTGACACGTTGATAAGGATTTCAGGCATAAATAAACAAGAATCTTCTAAAATCTGTATCATGTATATAATTACCGATGAATTCTTGTATGTTTCTCGATTAGAGTCCATTTCGCCTTTGAGTTTCGCTGAAATTAAAAGGTCGTGTGAGAAAATCCTCAAAAGTTATTAGCTGTTAAATATATCTGAAATTTCGAGGGTCATGAAATTAATGCATGGCTAATGCTGACTGCCGGCAATAAAATATCGACCCCATTCGATTGAATCGAAAGTGATGGAGAAAGTAATATAACCGCGCGTTTGTGCTACCCGCGCGCGCGCAATAGTTACAGTGAATGAGAAAATGAACCTTTCATCACAAGTTATATTTCGCGCGCCACTACTAGACATACGAGATCTTACGAAAATTTGAACTTGCGAATAGCAAGCAAAAAGTGTACACTATGTGTCCCGCATGTATAAACTGCATGACTTAGTGCGTGTCAAACTCTACGCCATGGGAATCTGAAAAACTTGAAAGTTCATAAACAAAAAGTTACTTACCAATAACAAAGGAGGATTCGTTACGTTGCATCTTGAGCTGTGAAGAAAAAACATTATAAAGCTGGCACCGTATTGCAAATATGCTTAGCAAATAATAGCAAATAAAGTCTAGTGTATAAATGACGATGACTGCAGATGAGGATTGGGACAGGCAAATGGAAATGCAATGGCTGATTGACGTAAATAATTATTAAAATTGCAGAATTTAATTTAACTTTTAAACTTAACTTAACTTACTGCATCGTTCATCTTATGCTTAAGTCCACAGATCTCCCCATAGTGCATTTCTTTTAATTGCTTCAGCTCTTTCTTTTTCTCGTTAAGTGTTTGTGCTAAGTTCTTGTTAAACTCGATCTGCATCTGAAAACAACCATGTCAGAAAGTGAACAATCCAATATTAATCCTAATTAATTATTTTAACTCGTAAAATATTTGTACCAAATTTGTACCAAACCGTCGACGAGTCCAACTCGGCGCGCGTCTTGGTAGGTTATAAACCTACAAATAGTATTTGCCCTGATGTGAGTAATTACTGTCAAACCTTGAACTTTGAAGTGGGATCTGAGAACAAAATACCATAAATTACAAATTAACGAAAAAAAGATAATAATAATTCTATGACTACCTCACTCATTTGGTCATGTTCTAATAGTAAATAGTAATGAACTTTACAGTTTACTGAGGTATTTACAGGCTAATAACCACTATGGTAGTCTCTATATTCCAAATATGCTCAAAATTCCTTATTTCCCCCATTTTCCCCAATTTAGTAAAAAATTACTCTTCCCAATGAATCGTGCATTTTCACCACTGGGTAAAAATCCTGAAACATCTCTTTCCGATTACTGGTCATTGTGTCCATGCTGTCAGCTGTATGATTGTGAACAAATATCCAATTGAAAATCCTTCCTTTTTGCTAACAGACAAGTCACATTTTAATAATTCTTGCTGCAGTAGCGGTTTTTAAATCTATACAAAGTCATCGACGTAATTATCAATATTAAATAACAGTGTTGTTCAGGTAGGGCTTCCAATTTCATAAAAGAGATTCACCAAGCAATATTACCCCTCCTTTTAACATAACTCTTTTCATAATTTCTATTATCTGTAATCGAACTGTTTATCATAACGTCTAAAACTAGTAAACGAAACGAGAGGCTGGAGCCACAGGACGCAGTCTCACCCGCCACTCCGCTCCATCTCCCTACACCACGTGACTCATATCCACCACTCAGAGCCGGAGACCGACAAGCATTAGCCAGTAGGGCGAAGTAGCACTAGCACTGTTTAGAGCAAGCAGAACACATCATGTAGTTCCTGAGAGCGGATGTAGCGGGGGCCACCTGGCCGTGTTGGTCAGCGTGACTAACGGTAAATAATGTGGGACATAAGCAGCACAATCGAGTGTTAATAGTTATTGACTGGTAGTGTCCGTTATAATACGGCCCGTCAAGTAGTGAGGTGATATGTGCTTTAAAGATGTTCATTTGGTCACGTGTGGGTCACATTAGGTCACGTGTTGGTCACATTTGGTCACGTGTGGGGTCAGGTATATCATGATTGGATCACGTTGCTCACATTTTCTTAAAATGCAAATTTCGATAGCATCGAATAAATACTTAATGGCATGGATGTTCCGACCATGACTAGTGTGTAAAGATGGATTGTAATAAAGCTCAGGAGACTAAGTGAGTCCCCTCAGGGCAGTTGCATTTGTCAACAATATCATTCATTTCGTGTCACAGAAACTGAGCTCGGAGCCCATTTGTTCATCGTCAACTAATTAATCCTGAAGATCCACGATTGACAGTTTCGTAGATTAATGTGAAGTGTTAGAAATTTAGAGTCAGTCGCCGAGTTTCACGTGCCTGGAATGTTTAAACATGCCACATGCCACAACAATTATGCCCAATTATTTTCAACTCTCGAAATTAAGCAAGACGGATGTTGCAAATTGAAAATGTGAAGTATTCATGATGAGAGGAAACCGCAGAGGAGGCTGGCGATAATTTCTTATCCTTAGGACAAGAAATAATTATTAAGCTGAATTTCTGGAGACAAAGGTGTATTTATGTAAAACCAAAATAGAGCAGGTTTTTTTTTAATACGGCTCCAATTAATATCCATCATCTAGAACACAGAAACTCACAACATGTCAGACCCTAACTGAACGGTACAATAATTAATATTTCCTGGTCTCATGATCCTTATTCCGCTTAGAAATTTTTGTTCTTTTTCTTTTCCTTTATCCTTTATTCCTCCTGATTTACCTAGGACCTGGATAACGAAAAGGGCTTATCTCTTGGTACTGGCGCCTCTTTTGTTAATTTCTCTTTTATATAATACATAATACAATATATTTTTGATATGCTTTTTGAGATTCCACTGTGGGTGGGTTTACTCGGTAACCTGAAATAAAAAGACACCGAAAATTAGAGACATCAAATACTATTCCAATTTGATCAGTAAGGTGACAGTAATGAGTAAGGTGACAGAGTAAGGAGACAGAAAGAAATGAGTATTATAATTTGTGCTGCCAAATTAGTTCCAGCAAATTGTAACATTATCACACCAACGTCACGATCGTGTAACGTTTAGTGATTTAGTTTTGTTGAATACTTGACAGGTCTAGTACGGGAATGCACACTCTGATTTACTGTTCCTTGTTAACTACATGAGAGTTCTTACTTTATGGTGATGTGACTACGTGATGAACTTGTTAGAGATATAACTTATAAAGAAATTACTTACAGAGATAAACAGGTTATATGTTTCTCAGCACCAAAGTGGTTTGACCGCCGTGTTTTGGTTTAGCCGAAATAGATTTTGCTAATGTTTTACATAAATTAACTAATGTTTTACATAAATTAACTGATGTTTTACATGAATTAACTAATGTTTTACATAAATCTTTCCCGCTCCAGCTGCAGTCTGGTAAGTGATAGTGTTGAGTTAAAATTTTCCTAACCTTCATCAATCATGTTGTATTGTAATTGTAATACCAATAGAACTGCGCTTCAACTCAGTAAACTGTATTGTACCCCCGGCCCCCCCTGTATTGTACCCCCCCCCCCCGGCCCCCGCCCCCCTCCTCCATTGTACCCCCCCCCCCTCCATTGTGCTCCCCCCTCCATTGTACTCCTTTATAATCAACCACCGTACTACTTCCGCTATCGTGTGTATGAAAGAGGAATTATTAATCCACACAATATAGTGAGTACTGAGTAGTGTCCATTAACACACAATATAGTGAGTACTGAGTAGTATCCATTAACACGCACGTAACCGTGGTAACAGTAGTCACCTCCTCATTGTGTAGATTAATAGTGATAATTGGTACAATGTGTCACTAGTGTCACTACCATTGTGTACAATATGTCACTAGCAACTAGTGTCACTACCATTGTGTACTAAGTAGTAAAGTGTATTAGGTACACTGCCCAGTAAAGTGCACAGTCATTGTAGGAACCCGGGATATAACACACAGTAATCAAGCGGTATTTGCATATATGTTGGTTTATTGAGTATAATGTGGAAAATAGACGCTGGTTTTTATATTGAAGAGTGTCTTTTACTTTTTAGTGACCAAAAATGCATTCGAATGTGAGCGGCATTCTCAGAGACAGTGGTCAATAAAACGGCAAACATTACATTATTTAAAGGCTTTTAAAAAGTCATCTTTCGAGCAACAATCATCTTGACAAATGAGCGGTTTTCGTTAAATCAATAAAAGCACTAGTTCCCATTGTTCAGCAAAAGTTAGTGTGGTCTTCACACTCCTTGTCAAATGTGCACGTGGTCGGTTAAACATTGTGAAAATAGTCGGTTTTTGTTAGATTGACAATCAGCAGATTGCCTGGTGAACTATTATATACACAATAGTTACTTTAATATAAACTATTATATACTTGTTCATTTGACACAGCATACTGTGGAAGTGTGTGCAATCAGTTACTAAACTAATGTATTTCTTCTAGCAGCTCTAAAGAAAGCTTCATTAATTACCGCTACGTGACACTGCATCTCACTGCATAGTGCACTGCATCTCACTGCACAGTGCACTGCATCTCACTGCACAGTGCACTGCATCTCACTGCACAGTGCACTGCATCTCACTGCACAGTGCACTGCATCTCACTGCACAGTGCACTGCATCTCACTGCATCTCACCGCACAGTGCACTGCATCTCACTGCATCTCACCGCACAGTGTACTGCATCTCACCGCACAGTGCACTGCATCTCACTGCATCTCACCGCACAGTGCACTGCATCTCACTGCACAGTGCACTGCATCTCACTGCACAGTGCACAGCATCTCACCGCACAGTGCACAGCATCTCACTGCACAGTGCACTGCATCTCACTGCATCTCACCGCACAGTGTACTGCATCTCACCGCACAGTGCACTGCATCTCACTGCATCTCACCGCACAGTGCACTGCATCTCACTGCACAGTGCACTGCATCTCACTGCATCTCACCGCACAGTGCACTGCATCTCACTGCATCTCACCGCACAGTGTACTGCATCTCACCGCACAGTGCACTGCATCTCACTGCATCTCACCGCACAGTGCACTGCATCTCACTGCACAGTGCACTGCATCTCACTGCTCAGTGCACTGCATCTCACCGCACAGTGCACTGCATCTCACCGCACAGTGCCACTGCATCTCCATGCTCATGTGCATCCCACTCCATGCACTGCTATAATCAACGCACCGTGCTACTGCATCTTCATGAAAGTGAATATAATCCACACATAAGTGTCAGTATGCACACATATATGTCAGTAGCACTCCATTACACGCACTACCGTGCAACTAGTCACCTCTCATGTGTGATAATAGTATTTTCAATGCACAGTGCACTACATTGTTACATGGTCACTGCATAGTGTCACTGCCATTCTGTCCTAAGTGAAATGATTATACACTGCCACAAGTGCACTGCATTTACCACTGACATGCACCGCATCACTATGCAAATGTGTTATTGATCTCAATGGAAAGTGCGCTGGTTTCACTGAAGTGCACTTTATACCAGCATTCAAGTGACTGCATTCTCAGCACAGTGTCATAAACGGCACATGACATATTCACCGCTTAAAAAGTCATCTTCAGCAACATGCATTTTGCATGCACGGTTCGATCATGCACTATCCCATTTGCACAAGTGTGGTCTCAATCTCCTTGTCAAGTGCACTGGCTTACACATGTGACGTGTAGATTGCAATCACAGAGCCTGTTAGTGCACTGCTCACTGCATAGTGCACTGCATCTCACCGCACAGTGCACTGCATCTCACCGCACAGTGCACTGCATCTCACTGCACAGTGCACTGCATCTCACTGCACAGTGTACTGCATCTCACTGCACAGTGTACTGCATCTCACTGCACAGTGTACTGCATCTCACTGCACAGTGCACTGCATCTCACTGCACAGTGCACTGCATCTCACTGCACAGTGCACTGCATCTCACTGCTCAGTGCACTGCTCGCAACATCTAAATTATCTGTTATATATCAATAATAATATTCAAAGAGATAATATAAATAATTATTATGCTAAATGTAGGTTTTTATCAAGGTAGTTACGGTAGTTAATTATTGAACAGTATGTGATCATCAAAGTGTAGGAAGTTCTAGGATTTTGGCAATGTCATTGCAGCTGAGACACTTTCTCCACCCTCATTTGCTTGAGATAGCTCAGCAGCTGTTTAAACTTGGTCAAAAAGACTATTGATATGCTGTGACTAGCGTTGAATAGTGGATTCATTTTAAATATATCAACTACTGATAAAGTAAATAGACCAATACTTGTTATAACTAACTAATTTGTAAAACAGCCCTAACTCCGCTGGACGTGCATAATGAGTGTAGAGAAACATGACAAACTGTTATTATTCTAATCTGAACTGCGAGTTGGAACGTCATAGTATCTGACGGTCAAATTAGTCACTTTTTAGAGCAACATGTAAAGTAAACAAATATTAAAAACAAAGAGGGATTTTATCAAATTATCCTAGCAATCACAAGCAACAAACATATTTCAGTGGTGAGTTGTCTTGATTTGGAACAGTTCTAGAATATTCTATTAGGTCGTCAGTAAAGAAGAACAAATTTCTCAAGAATGTGGTTTTAAAGTACTGAAAGTAAACATTTCCTCGCAAGATGCGTATGTAATGAATTGAGAACTCACCAACTGTTGCTTTTCGCGGTTTGATCTGTGGTCGAGTTCGATTTTGGACTCCAGTTCGACAATGTGCTGTTTCAGCCTCTCTATTTCCTCTGTCAGCTCACTATCAGGGTTAATGCTTGGAGATTAGTGTTAGTCGAACAAATAATGTGGAGTTTTCTGTAAATTAGACAAAAATAGGGTTCAATTTATATGAGACGAGAATCTAACCTGGGCAAATGAGGGGGCTCAGTGGTTATTAACATTATCACTAACGAAACGAAACGAAGAACTTTTAAAACAAACTCTTGCAATAATCAATACTACTCACATCTTCTCAGCTTCGACTTCTTTCAATCTGAAAGATGAATTGCAACATTGTAACGCAAAGCTGGTACAGATATTGAATTAAAACTAATCACATACGAACCATTTACTGCATGATTTTGCGGAAAAGTTTCAAAAAGGCGATTAAAAAATACAACAGCTCAAAAAATATGCCTTACCTTCCGAGAGTGTCATCATCCTGTATCTGGACTTTAACTCCGATATTACCGGTGGGTGTCCTGGTCAGCTCGAATGTGGGGCTCTTAGCCTCCCTCACTTCCTCCTTCTTATCGGCCACGTTAACTCGCGGGACTGCTGATCTGATCTTGCGGGTCGAGTAGATGGTTTTACCTCCCAATGGGGGCCTGGAGAGGAGGGTGTGAAGAGGAGGGATGTGGTGTGAAGAGGAAGGTTTGAAGAGGAGGGATGTGGTGTGAAGTGGAGATGTGGGATGTGGTGTGAAGAGGAGGGATGTGGTGTGAAGAGGAGGGATGTGGTGTGAAGAGGAAGGTTTGAGGTGTGGAGAGGAGGGATGTGGTGTGAAGAGGAGGGATGTGGTGTGGCAAGGTACAAGGAAAATAAAGTTGTTATTTAACTCATTAAAATATTTGACTGTAATTAGAGTCTCGTTGTTTCCCATAAAATAAAGCACGTACTGCCAGTAATAGGCCGAATTCCTGTTAAGCTAATGAGCTAATCACTGAATACATATAAGCGGACAAGCTAAGTTCCGAATCTTAATGGCTGGCGACAGTACAGCTACGTAGTTCAACTAATATTCTGGAAAACTTCAGTCTAATTTCATATTAAAATGGACGGGAAGAAGTAGTTTTACCAATTGATGGTCAAGTTACAAAATAGCAAAATATAATATTTGCCTACTTTCCACAGCAAGAACCAGGTCGGCCTTTTCGGAACCGATATCTCTGATTTGTAGTTTTATCAGGATCATTCCTGTCACATGACCTTGCCGAGGGCGCTCTATCACTACTTTGTCTGCTCTCAACTCTACTGACTGGGGTGGAGCCTGATATAAGACCTTTAGCTGCGAGTATTCTCTCCTGTATAGGAACTCTAGTGCCATCATCCGGCGCCACCTCAACCATCTCAACCACGTTGAGTTGTAGTCTGGCTGACTTTTTATCTGCATTACACAAACTTGATATGTACACGTTCTCAACATACGACTTGTAGTTCTTGTCTTCAAATACAAGAGGCCGTGGTTTCAACATTACAAACCTAACAATCGAAATAAACCTCCCTATTCACATTTACTACCGGAATAACAGACGCAAATAGCGAATATCTTTATGAAGGAAAAAGGTAACGCAAACAACTGATGGTTAGACGTAAAATAGAACGTAACGAGCACCTATGTACACATGCAGTCTCTCTCACATATTAAATCCGTTCCCATGGTAGCAGCAAATATCGAATTACTGGGGCGATGAGTGCTACTTATGAAGGATAATTTCATCACTATAACAGCTCAATGGTACTTCTCCAAACTAAATCTTAATGCCATTTTCTCATCGAAAATTATCCCTGTCACTAAGCAAGGGTGCACAATAACGAGTTTGAATAACTGTTCGTCATAACGTTCATTAGTTGTCGGTTTCAAATTTCGTTGGTTTCAAATTTCTGTATTTGAAATCAGAATTGTGCTTTTATTATGACAATTAAGAATTGCTAAGATTTTGTTAAATCGCTAACATAAACACTTTCGGTCTCGAATTCTTGAGAAATTGGCCGATTTGATTCGTTTCTAGTATTATCATCAGAGATGCCACTAATTAAACGCAAATTAAAACTATATAATTACCTTTGTAATTACGATAAACGCCCAACCAGCTCCATACTGGCGCAATACCATGATAAATCAAAAAAAATATAAGGATTAGAAACTTACGTTGGTATAGGACCGATTGGAGAATCCATCATCGGCGTCGCTGGAGCAGAACTGAAGATAATATGTGAAGATCAGTTTCATAAATCATTGTTCTCAAACTTAGCATAGCTATCTGTCTTTTCTCTCTTCAGATATATACTCCACTGTTTATACTTGCTAAAGAATAACAATATAATTTACAACAATGTATATCGACCAGATTTGAATCAACAATTAATTGAGTCCATAGGACTCATAATTAGCTAAGCTTTGATACAAAGCATGCGAACTCAAAGTCGCTTTCACAACTTTTGTCAACTGAATTGACAGAAGATCTGGTTCCTCTTATACACAGGAGAACCAGCTTCCTGATAACAAATGATAAAGAATGATTTTCATACCTGGGTCTATTAGAGGAGGGCTTGTGGAGAGCTCTCATTGGTATTGAACGGGTGGACGTAGTAAAACACAATTTAGTTTTGTTCCTCTTTCGGTGGGTTTTACTGATGTTTATCAGTCGTTGGGTTGTTTCCTGAATATTTTCAGAGATATTAGCGGCTCAATATAACATTCAGACATTGAGACCATTCACCGACACCACTTGGAGAGAGGGGCAATTAGGTAATCTGTCGATGTTCACTTAACGCACGGTTAAGGTATGGTTAACCCACACTTAACACTTGGTTACTGGTTAGAATGGTTACTGGTTAGAATGGTTACTGGTTAGAATGGTTACTGATGGGAGAATGTAAAGATAAAATATTGGATGATAAAAATACCTTGACAGGGATGTGGTCCCATTTGTTCTCGTAAGCATCTGGCACGACTGTAAACCCATGGGTGTTACTTTTCGTATGATAGCTAGGTCTGAACTCGCCCTTGTTACTTTGCTTCTTCATTCTTCAACAATGGCCAGGTGGGGCCACTGTAAATAAACTAATTATCAGGCAAGTTACGTGGGTTGAGCAGGAGCAGCCATCTCTATACCTCCACCACCGCCACCCTGACTATATTGCATTGGATAGAATAGTAGACCAATAACCTTATAAAGGTGTATTTATTTCATCAATAAATATTAAGAAAGCAAAAGTTTTTGTAAAGCAACCTACGAGACAACACAGATGTCAACAAGTCTTTCTCTTTCAGTAGATTCTTCGTGCTCTTCCTTGTAGCAGAAATAGTCCAAGCAGTCCAAGACTCCGTATATGAGGATTACAAGTATGCCAACAACAGCGATGCCAGCAGGAAGAAGGATAAAGAGGACAATCATCCGTTTTACATCCTAATCAACGCTAATAGGGTAAATACTAATGATTAACGAGAATGAATGGTACAATAGGAAACAAATATGCACACAATGATTGGGTAATAGTATGATAGTAGTATATAATATATATATAATAATAGGTACAGCTGTTGACAAATTATGAAGAAAAATTATTCTATTAAGATGGAATCTTTACCCCTTATCTTTACCCCTTGCAGAAGTTCACATCCAGGTTAAATGGTGAGCTGTGCATAATATTTATATAGCATATACAAACATTATACTCATTATACAGTCAGTTAGTCGCCCATCTGAGACTCAAAAGTACAACTGTACAATGTACTCTTTTATTTGGAGTAAAACATGATCGTTTCGATTGATCGATCATACAATAAAGGTTTTTTTCCCTGTTCCACATGAACGACAGCCTGGGAAAGTATTTGGTTTCTTATATTTAAAATGCAAAATAGTTCATACTTTCGTATTGACTTGAAACAATAATCCGAATTTAAATTATTCTTTGGGTGTTTTAATTTAAAAACCTCAGAACAGGAGAAAGATTAAGATGTTTTAACACAAATGTCATTGAAATGGGATGAGCAGATAAAAGCATCCATATCTAAAGCTAACAAGAATTGCGCCGGTTAGCGGACGCTAGATTTCCATCGACCGTAGGCATTACCTTTTGTCGATCGTTTAAATTTATGTTTGCAAAAATAATTAATAATGTTTCTTCATTCTACATTATTGGCCCCTACGAGGTAGGAAGTGGAAAGGTTGCCTTTATCATGTTTGCGTGTGAATATAAAAATAAAGCTTCTAATGTATGCCGTCAGTCGCGCAGAGAATATTTTAAACAGTGTTTGAAAAGCCGCGCGGCATGATGATGTCTGACTAAAATAGTCTGAGGCGCAGGAGTTTATTAATAATCGAAAGAGAAACTAACCGTAGACACAAGGAGCAGTATTTGCACAAATAGCAGCTGCCCCAAGCAGCATGATCGCGGCAATCATTAGTCCATGCGATGTTCGCCCGAAGAAGACGGAACTGTAACAATTAAAAGAGCGGACACTATAGCCTGTGTGGTGGTACGCAATTACAAGTTTAAAGAACAAAAGCCATATAAACGAATGGTTATTTACATAAGTTGTTACATTAAGTAAAGTGGTCGTAGTAAAATCCGTTGTAGGTAATATAATGTTAATAATAATAAAATCTACTGTCCATTCCGTATAATAAATCAATTTCTCTACTATCATGTCCAACATAAAATCAACATCATGGTTTATACAACAATATAATAAATGATTACTAATATCGGGAGCCAAGTCGGTGGTTGAACCAAGCACCCACAACAAAATAAGAAGTTTGTATCGCATGAAGTTAACGAAAGCTTAAACGACAAATATCAGTACAAAACAAAATGTATTATAGCGGAAAGAGAAATTTTATATGCGCGAAGCACACGCGATTTATCAGCTGCAGTCATGGTATAGAGTCCACCTTGACATAAAAGCAATGTAAAATTCACGCGCGCAACAATCACGTGATAATATCAGCGTCCAAAAATACAGCGATTGAAGTAGGTTTCACATTTCAACTGTCGTGGGCCCTTTTAGAACAATCTCGAAGACCGACCGAAGAGTGATTTAGCATGCTCGCCTGTGTGGTGATTGATATGCAGTTAAAAGTTTGAAGAACAAAGCCATGTGAAGGAATGGTTGTTTACAAGTCTACATAAATTGTTAGATTGAATAAAATGGTAGTCGTGAAATCCGTATTAGGTAATCATAATGTAACTCATAATAACATTTACGGTCCATTTCGTATAACAAATTAATCGCTCGACAATCATGTTCAACATAATATCAGCATCATAATTTGTTCAACAAAGGATGATCATGATAATTAATTACTCTGCACTCGACTGTCACGTAACTTTTTCAACTCGTTCTCTAGCTGGCCCTGATTGGGATCTGAGTTCTGACACGTGTAATTTTGCAATGATCTTTCTAATTTCTAATTTCTAATAGCATTATCGGGAGCCAAGTCGGTTGTTGCACCAATAACTCACAACAAAACGTGAAATTAGTATGTTATACTTGTACTTGTAGCGCATCAATGATCATCATTATTTATATTAAAATCCATTTAAAACAACAGAATAAATTATTGTAATTACATACGTACGCTGACCCATGACCGTAACTTGTAACTGTTATGAAAACTTCAGTCAGCTTGGCGCCGCGCATTTAAAAGTTTAATACAATCGTCGAATCGTGCAAACGTGTGCGGAGGGTAACCATGGAGATGACACCATTACTGCTCCGCGCGCAGAGAAGATGCATTTAAATGGTTATGCGGAGGGTAATGCATGTTTTCCTTTGTGACACAATTCATGACTCTAGTGACACGAAAAACATACCTACCCACTATACCCGTCCTCAATTCCTACAACTTCTAACCATCTATTGCCTTTTTAAGGCGATGGAAAAAATTGACATGCTGGATAGTCAGGAATTTGATTGTTGGAAATAAAACTGTTATATTAGCAATTTACAAATATTTGATAAAGTCACATCATATGAAAGCTAATTCTTAGTCCAAAATCAATCAATTCTTAGTCATCATATTTCAAGACATAAACGACATCATGGCATTGATATTATGCATTATTTAATTTCTAATAAAAGATATTTCGAGTAAGAAAGTGGTCCAAACATAAACACGGATTAACAATAAATCCTTCAGGGACTCCGTGGAATTGGGGAAATGCTGGCTAATATTTTTCCATCAATTTTTTTTCTTCAAAAAAGTATAAGATGGTTAGAAGTGGTAGGAATTGAGAATGGGTATAGTAGGTTTCGTGTCAGGTGTCAGGTGTCATAAAGGAAAACATGTGCTCCTTCATAAATTTACACATTGCGTAAAAAGTGGATTTTGGTAATGCTGGGCCTTACGTTCAAGCCAGGTTCAAGGGATCATCCCTTTAAAAAGCAGACTGATCGCAATCAAATCGAACATTTTTACCATTTTCTTGACTAAATAGTAAGTACAGAACATAAAACTAGATTTTGAGAATAACAAAACATATGTAATGTCCGGAGAACGTAACCATCATCAAAAACCGATAAGATCACTTTACAAATGTGCACTCAGTAAAATGACTCAGATCGCTGCTCATTGAGCAGTGCTCAATATTGCGCATGACTGGCGATCAAACTCTCAACGAAAGCAAACAGAACATAATGCAACTTGATTGTTGATTTTTCTTTAAAAACTGAACGCGTTGCATTAAGTGTCATTATTCCATAAATTGTGGTCATGCGAATCAAAATCAGGACGGGTATAAGATTTAGTTAGTAATGTGAATGTGACTTTGCTATTGGTGAGTCTCCAATCCCCAAATAATGTACCATGTACCGATCTGCCCAGTGAAAGATCATAATATTTTAAATGTTAAAATGTACAATATTCGATCAATCTGCAAGTTGCAGTGTTGGGTCTACTCACATAACGTGACAGTAAGTCAAATAGCCCAGTAAATTCACGATTTGTAACAAATCAGCCAGAGCCCAGATTAGTCAATTTATTGATACATATCAAGTCAGCTCTTGAAAATAACACAGCTAACCAGTGAACATAGTCATACTGCAAATTAATCGTGATGCATCTATATTATATTTTAAACTTGACGAAATCCCCCCGGCAACGGAAACAAAAACACTGAAAATTGACCAAAAAAGACCCTCGCAAATATTAGCTCGCAAATGGAGTTGAAACCTCACAATTTTTAGCAGGGTTGTACAAAAAAGGATAGGAATAGCATTCTTACAAGGCAACAATTATATTGTTTATAAAAACTCAAGGCCCAAGTGGAGGTATGGAATTAGTGGCATAATGTTTAAGGACAAAAAGTCATACATCAAATGGGCATTATATTTTATGAATTGTTTTACATCTTTTTATTCTGTAAAATGTTCTAAAATTAAATTTCTTGTTTCATTGAATTTCTTGTTTCATTGACGGACTTGGTTCCCTTCTATAAGAAGGCCCACATACTCCCTATAAACCAGCGAATCTTCTTCAAAGTTTGTCTATTAACCCAAAATCAGTTCACGGTACTGCACCTGGTTACCTCAAAGCATTACTGGATTTGGATGTATAGTGGATACAGAACTCTCAAACACTGTGACCAGGTCGAAAAGACCGGATGACCATCTCATGCTCAAGATACCAAAGAATAAAAGGTCCAAAGTTGATGACAGACGTTTTTCAAGCCATGCACCGGTTGCATGGAACTCTCTTCCGCTGATGTTGAGAAGTATTACTGATACCAACTGTTTCAAGCGAATGTTAAAGAATCATTTATATAATCAGTTCTGATGTTTTTTCTTTCCATTGTCTTCACTTTGCAAGACATGTTGGCTTTTATTGTTTACTGCACTCCATTTTATGTCTTGATGTCTAACTAAGACATAATCAATCAAGAAAGAGATCGATCCTTGAAAGTTAGACTCTAACTTTCAAGGATCTGTCTCTTTCTTGATTGATTATGTCACTGTACTTACCTTTATTATACCTACATGTATTGTATGGTTTCTGCTTCTATTTAGTTTAGTGTGGTTTACAATAAAATATGTTTTAATTTTGTCTTAACCTTATGATGAGTTATACTTTATTCACTTTTACACATTTGTTCACATCACTCACAGTCAGCCGCTCTGACATGGTTAACCACCTTCCTTGTGTTGTTGGTTAATCATATGAGCGGGGTATAAATACCTCATTTCATTCATCATTTCATTTCATTTCATTTCATTTCATTTCATTTCATTTCATTTCATTTCATTTCATTTCATTTCATTTCATTTCATTTCATTTCATTTCATTTCATTTCATTTCATTTCATTTCATTTCATTTCATTTCATTTCATTTCATTTCATTTCATTTCATTTCATTTCATTTCATTTCATTTCATTTCATTTCATTTCATTTCATTTCATTTCATTTCATTTCATTTCATTTCATTTCATTTCATTTCATTTCATTTCATTTCATTTCATTTCATTTCATTTCATTTCATTTCATTTCATTTCATTTCATTTCATTTCATTTCATTTCATTTCATTTCATTTCATTTCATTTCATTTCATTTCATTTCATTTCATTTCATTTCATTTCATTTCATTTCATTTCATTTCATTTCATTTCATTTCATTTCATTTCATTTCATTTCATTTCATTTCATTTCATTCAAGATAAGTCCATGGCTTTGAATGATGTTAATACACAACATACATATTTATAAACTGAAAATTCCTGCGATCCGATTAACATCTTCATGCTGCCAAACACTTTTATCCAGGTCATCAAGCTCAATTTTTATCATTCCAATTTTTGTAAACCGTTAATGCAATTGTTATGTTTCTGTATTCAATATTAAGTTAAAAGTATAATTGTTATAAAAGTGAAATTTGAAGTACAATTTTTTTTTAATTGACGATGTCAATTCATCGCAGCTCGGCAAGGCACAGTAGCGCATTTCGCCGATCTAGCGAGAAGCATAATTGAGTGCGCGGCGCGGCACATTAACGCATCGCGCTACAAAATTTGTTGGCCTTAACCGTTAAAACTTATAATGTAAACACGATTAAAAAGTATGCAGATAGTATAATTGATTGACGATGTCAACCCATCGAGATCGTTGCTTTGCGAAACAAAGCAACGATCGACGATGTGAATTGACCATTGTTAATGATCTGGCCCGGCGCGCGCTACTTCGTAGCACTTGCCGTCGGGCCAACATTTCGAGAAGAAAGCGGCGCGCGCTACTTCGAAGAAATTTAGACGAGTAACATCCGTCAACGATGTGAAGCTCACGAATGCTAGTTTGCGCGGCGCGTCGAAGTCCTCCAAATAGTAGTATAATATAGCATATATGATTGACACACGCTGCAACCCTTTTTGCACGCGAAAGAGGTCGAGCGCCAAATTTGTAGGTTTACAACCTACCAGGACGCGCGCCGAGTTGGACTCGTCGACGGTCCAATATATGGAACAGATATTTTACGAGTATCACCCGTTAAGCGCCAAATTCAAAATCGGCCGGCACGAGAGATTTGTACAATTACGTGTAGCAAATATATGATATAGTCGACAGTCGTTATAGCGCGATGAACAACTGGGCCGCCCATTCCTGAAAACTTTACCGCCTGGCTCTTATATTATTACTTGTACCGCGATGCGTTATTGTGCCGCTCACTCAATGAGGCTTTTCTAGATCGGTGAGATGCGCTACTGTGCCGCGCCGAGCTGAGATGAATTGACATCGTCAATTAAGGCTTTTAATTTTACTATTACTAATTTGCTCGCCCAAAGATTTCACGTGACTTTGGTTTTTACATGGTTTTGCAGCCGTACAAAACGTTTTTTCATAAATATAAACCCTAATCCCAACCCTAACCATAACCCCGAAGCTAATCATAACCCTTACTACATCCCTAACCCTAACCCAGTCCCTAAAAAATCAAATTAGTATTTTACTTAAAGGGTGATACTCGTAAAATATCTGTTCCATATATTGGACCGTCGACGAGTCCAACTCGGCGCCTTTCCTGGTAAGTTGTAAACCTACAATATTTTACTAGCCTGTCACGTGATCAGAACGGTTTTTGCCCATAACTCTCCAGGGAAGAATTTCAACCCTACGTCATGGGGGGGGGGTGGGGGGTTGATTCGGAATCAGCGTCCAAAAATACACCGATCCAGATCACATTCATGCCCAAAGGGCCTTTTCACAAGAATTTTCTTAAAATTTGGGCGAGCGATTTAGTAGGAACGGCCGGGCTCGCTAAATAAAAGGTCAAGAGGTGATCGATTTTCAACAGCACGTTTGTCCTCTTGCGTCACATCAAGTTGACCTTTCGCACGCTGCATTTAGCCTAGTAGTCATGACAACGACATTACTTTGCAAAGTTTAAAAGCTGTGATATTTTATTTAGCCCCAAAATCAAACTTTTCGGTTTAATTCAGAATCTAAGTTGTCCCAAATTTTGCTCCTGGGGAGCTGACTTTAAATTTGCGAGAGGGAAATTTTTTTGGAGATATACCCCAGCCGGTAGAGTTTGCTGGGATCTGGCTAGTGTGGTCACGTGTTGCTGTCAGCAGAAGCTGTTTTGCTTGGTTTATCTGAACCTTTGACGAGGAAGCGGGGTTTGAAGATTGTCGGTTATTTTGCATGATGATTGTTATGAATAAGATCCTGAGATATTCAGATGATGCTATAAACAGAAATAATACATCCTTTAGTAAATGATGCAGACTGATTTAAATTATTAAAGGGCTATCAAAAATTGTCACATGATAACAAGACCCAGATATTATTTGATTATTGATAATGCTAGCTTCAAATCGATATCTATATCAGTAAAATTAATCATTATGTTGGTGGCACTGATGATGATTGACATGGTTACACGGCACTTTAGCTCACATCCCACTCATTGAGCTTTCTGGGGTACTTGACATCCTTCTTAGCGATAGTTTCCTTCAACTCTTCAGCTATACGATTGGTAGAGATGTTCTCTAGTTTCTTTAGATCTACCTGTCAAGCATTAATACGACTTAATTCATTGAAAATTGATTTATAAATGACCGATAATCGATCGATAATCTACTAAATTTAACAAATTATTAGGATCCAATCTTGAAGTGGTTCAGAAATATTTTGCTCACCTCTCTTCCGAACTTGAGAAGCATCATGTTCTGACATTTCTCATCAAGTTCCAGAGGTTTCTCCTGCATTCCCTTCTTTCCCTTAATCAAGTGGATGTGTGATTTCTTCAGCTCCCTGTAGGTCATATAATTATAGTAATGTCGTGAATTTCTTATTGAAAAACATCAACTGCAGCATTGGCATTGTTAGGTCGAAACAACAGAAACATAATTTAGCCGGATTCAAAATTCGCAAAATCTTTTAGTTTTAAAGTCTTAAATACCAACACCACCAAATAACATGAGCCTTTAAATCGAAGGTCGGACTGACTTGAACTTGCAGATCTGATGAGCCTTCTCCTGTTAGAATCTTAATTCTATTTGTAGCTTGTTTTTGTACTTCATATTACTAACCCTGTATCTCACTTTAGCAAAGGTTTAGTTCCAGTGATTGTATATACAGTGTTGGGGTAAAGGGACTCCAGAAGGCAGACAAGGCTCGACTCCAGACTCTAGTTGTGTAACAGAAGAGAGAGGAGTGTCCTGTGTTTAGTTGACTCCAGACTCTAGCGAAGCAGAAGGGAGAGGAGTGACGTTGTTGACTCCAGACTCTAGCGCAGCAGAAGAGAGAGGACTGTCTAGTATTTTAGTGATCCCACAGATTCCGGTCGACAGATACTATCTGTGTTCTGTGACGTGGAAAGAGTGGTAAGTAGTTTATAGTTATAGTTTAGTAGTTTAGTCTAGGAGTTCCCGCTTCCTCTTTCACTTTCATTTATAGTTTCACGTGGATTACCTTTCACTTTACTCACGGTAGTTTTCCCCCAGGGTTTTATTATAGTTATCAGTTCCAGTTTAGTTGAAGTCCTCATCATTCAGAAGTCCCTCATATAGTAAGAAGAACATCATCATCAGGAGTAGTAGTTTTATTTAATAGTAGTTTAATCTAATAGTAAAAAGACATTATTTAGTGTAGTATTGTTTTTGTGTATTAGTTATAGCAGTGTGAGTAGCTGAGTCACACCAATCACCTTTTAATCACTCATTCACTATTTGAGGGTGAGTACATAGAGTAACAAGGTTACATTTGAAACCCCATTTATTTGTATAACCTCTTTATTCATCTAATTTGTATTTATAATAATTGAGTATTATTTGTTATTTAATTAACCCAAGAACAGGGTTACAACAGTGGTAGCAGGAAGAACTACGTTACACCGGACCGTATTTATTTTTTGTATATTTTAACTAACACTTAACACCTAACACTAGATTTCAGTTTTCATCATGGGAGGTGATAAAGTACCTGTTCTTGATGAGAAGGCCAACTATACAGATTGGAAACGGAGAGTTCAGTGGTGGAAGAAGGTGACCACCGTCAAGCCTGAGGCAGGAGCAGCTGCATTAATCATGAATATGTCTGGAAAACCAGAAGCTGTTGCTATACAGCTGGACGTGGAAGAATTGTCCAAAGCAGGAGGAATAGATGTTCTCATTGCTGAGCTGGAAAAGTTATATGAAAAAGACCAGACTCAGTCAGTCTTTACGTCCATTGACAGCTTCATGAACTACAGAAGACCCAAGGAAGTGCCCATGGAAGAGTATGTGAGAGAATTTAGCCATCGTTACAAGAGCCTTGTGCAGAAGCGTGGTGCTACTGTGGTATTTGAAGATGGAGTACTTGCGTACTTCTTATTACATCATGCTAATCTCTCGGACCATCAAAAGACGTTAATCAGGGCAACGGTCTCTAAGTTAAGCTACAAATAGAATTAAGATTCTAACATCTCCTGCTGAAGCTCCTTGATCCTGCTAGCGAGCTGGTTGACCCCCGCAGAGTGGAATACCAGACAGGACACAAGGTCGCTGGGTAGCACTCCGTTTTGCATGTACTGGATCTGAGGGGAGATGGAAATTGGAATGTAAGATAGGAAAGGGAGGGTTGCTACAAATGGATACTAAAACATAAGGGGTAGGGATACATTTCCAGATGATGAAAGATGTTTCAATCCGGGGCCGAGTTCGGATGTAAAAGATGCTGGTATTAACCAATATCCTTCAAAATGTAGTTTCTAATTTTCATCGATTATGATTTAATGAACATGCTATATGTATCTTTACCTTATCTAAGTTCAAGGTAACAACGATATCCAATTCATTCACTTTCTTCTGCTTCTCCAATCTCCAATTGGAAGGTTTCCAGATCATTCTTCTCACACTTCACACCATGACTGATCACTTTGTTCTTCTTCACCAGGGCATCAACCTCCTTTCTCAGGGAGTCTATTATCTTCTTTCTTCTTGGATTGCCTCCTCCAAGTCTAGTTTCTTTTCGCTTATCACTTTCGTAGCACAGCAGACATTTAAATATTTAAAAACTAAACAAATGGAAAGTGGAATCAAATTGATTCAAATTGGTTCAAAATAAACTAAATTAGGTCTTGATCTAATCCGATTAGTAATCGCCTTCCTCGACGAGCACCGCAATCACTCAATTTTCTGTGGTGAAAAAATATAGCCACACAAACAAAATTCTTGATGATATAAAGATTACACGTATAACACGTTAATCTAATAAATTACTCACATCATGATCTCAAGATTTTCGTTCTCGTTCTCGAGGGTTGATAACAAATCTTCTAGCTCTGCTTTCTGCTTGTCCCTCCTTCACCTCCCTTGTCTCCAGCTGCGGCGGCAGGAGCAGCTGCTTGTTTGGCTACAGGAGCTGCCTGCAACATACAAAATTGTTAGATTTAACTTAGAGTGAGATAAGGGGACTATTGCCAAGAGATATCGATAAGCATTAACAGGTTTGACACTTTTTTTGCCTGCTGATTTCATTTAATGACTGGATTTTAGTTATTATGCATAATATGGTACTGACAAATTTGTTCTTTCCTAGTACTTAATAAGTAAAATCATTCTAAATCATAATTACTTTTGAGGCGTGGCTTCGAATGTATTTGTAGAGCTAAGTTAGACGTCAGATATTCGTTAACTAGATCATTAGTCTAGTTAGATTAGGGAGCGATAGGCATCCTTTGTATACTTTTTTTGTAGAATTATTTCCTTTATTCCTATATTCGTAAATTTTTGATTTTTTTATCTCAACTTCTGGAGGACTTAGAGACTTTAGTTTTAGGTTAAATTAACTGCAATGATCTTATTTATCTACAAGTAATAAAGCAATGTAAGGTCTTCAGTGCTTAGTTTTAAAGATATTCACGAAAATTTACCAAAGAAAACAAAAATAGGCCACATTATTTTTATATCTCAAGCTAGGAAGGTCGCAGAAACTTTTCCGATGTTGGAAAATGTTTGCAATGACCACATTTGTATAAGACTTATGAATAATGATATGCCCTTAAATGCCTATTTGTAGATATATTGGCAAAATCAGTTATTTGGGCTATAACACACAATACAAATTTGGTAATGTGATCTCGGAAGGCAGGCGATGCGTAAAACCCATCCTCCGATGTGTAATAAATCCACCAGTTAGGCTCGCAGAGCCGGGAACTCGGGAAGTCTAAACATGGTTTGTGGCTATTCTAACAGCACAAATAGTTTTTAGTGAGGAACCTTACAGAGCTAGATACCGCTTTGTATCATGATCAGAATTTCGATCCATTGAGTTACATTGCTGCAGCTTCCACGTTTGAAGTCTTAAACGCATTTTTGCCATGCTGTTCTGCGTATCCATCGACCAGTCAGTCAATACTGTTAAAAGTATATCAGATTAGCACCAACTGCTGAGCAAAGGCGATATTTGACAAAAGTTCCCAGCTCTGACCCTAACTGGAGGATTGGTTACACATCGGAGGATGGGTTTTACGCATGGGTTTTTACGGTGGTTGAGTCAAACCTTTGCAGGCTTCCTACAGAATTGTTCTATCAATTGCTAAGATTATAAATCTATAATATAAAACTAAATAACAAATTATTGACCGCGTACAAGTGAAGCGAGCTAAACGTACATATCTGGATTTGGCCCGGCCCCTGGGGCTGGAGATGGTTGACCTGGTTGCAGTTGTTAAATAGGCTGCAGGGGCACACGGAGTTTTACTTTCTTTTTACTTCATCATTTGGTTCGCTTTACTTCAGTGATGTATTCGATCCAGAAATTTCAATCATTTGTAAATAAACATTTCAATTTCTTGCTCAAAAATTTCTAAAGAATGTTTATTTGAAAAGGGCGTGCATTGCGATATTTATGGAGACATACACAAAAACCTTATTTGGTGCCACCCTGAATTTTATTTCATATTCCCTTTTTTAAATAAGGGAATATCTAAAAAATTCGAATTTTGTTAACCTCATTGATTTTTTCCATACTTTTGTTGTAGGGTCATTTTGGCGTTTGCCAAATCAACAATTTTGGTCATAGTCTAAGACTTTATTACAACATTGAATCGGTGGACACAGTAAAAATAGACGACCGTGAAGAAGGACGTACAGAGAGAAGAATACGGAGATAAGACAAATGAGAGTGGGGGAAGTGGAGCCCTAATGGAAATGGACTTGATAGACTGTTTAGATTCTAATCTTGATCAACGTTGGGTTATATATCATAAGTTTATATGCATGTCAGTATTTGGGTTCTCGTACTGTAGTGCGACACGTACCCTAGTGCGAAACCTTCAAGATCGACACTGTCGCACTACAACACGCTATACTTGGACTGTAGTGCGACACGAACTAAAGTGCGACAAAAAACTTTACACATTCAATAAATCATCCTCTCTTGATAGTAGTGGGCCAGGTTGTCTCCACAGCGTTGATCAGGGCTCTCGTAGTCACTCGTGACATATTGAGGTTCGACTCCAAATGCAAGGAGCTCACCCAAGAGGGCTTCATAATTAGTTTGTGTCTTCCCGGGGAGTAAGCCGAATGCAAGGGGAATTCTCCAGCCATCAGGATAGTTGGATAGAGTCCGTGGACAGTCACCAACTGTGTGAACAAGTTAGGCGAGGTGCTAAAGGTACCAAGATGACAAGATCAACAGTAGGTCTTGTCGTCGCGCTTCTTATCCAGGCAGTAGCGGTATCCGTCGTAGATTTTTTTGAATCAGTAGTACGTCCAGGGAAGAAAATTATTGTAGAAGTCATGTTGATGTTGTTTGATACTTCGGTAGAATCATCGTGACCTTATAGTTATAGTTATATATGGCCCAAGCATATGAAGTATGAACTTGTTATCCCAATCAGAGATATACCTTCATACGATGCGTGTGATAGGAATTAGGATCATATGCTGCTTACGAGTGACTCAGTGGATCACTCACTGACCCGAAGGAATTATGATCAGTGGATCACTTCGAAATACATGTCATGAACCGACGAATCGGGTCCACAAGAAGTGTGCGAATTAGAGGATCTGACCTTGGAAGTAAAACAGGATATTGTGTCGCACTAGAGTACGCTACCTGGATCGTAGTGCGACACGTACTGTAGTGCAAAAGAGGGTGTTTTTGTTGGACTTCGCACTAGAGTACTTGTCGCACTAGATTACTTGTCGCACTAGAGTACTTGTCGCACTAGAGTACTTGTCGCACTAGAGTACTTGTCGCACTAGAGTACTTGTTGCACTAAAGTACGTGTCGCACTTATACAGTACGATTACCCAGTATTTAAGGGGAGGATTTCAGGGCATATATTAGTGTACGACATTTAGTACAGCAGCGTAGAACAGAGAGTTCAGTTTAACACATCTGTTTTGGTAACGAGGAGAATAGTTAAAGATATTGTTTAGAGCAGAGAGTTTTGGGGAGCAGAGAGTTTATTTTAACATCTCTGTTTTGGTTATCAGAGATTTCAGTTTAACACATCTGTTTTGGTAACTAGGAGAATAGTTAAAGATATTGTTTAGAGCAGAGAGTTTTGGGGAGCAGAGAGTTTATTTTAACATCTCTGTTTTGGTTATCAGAGAGTTCAGTTTAACACATCTGTTTTGGTAACGAGGAGGATAGTTAAAGATATTGTTTAGAGCAGAGAGTTTTGGGGAGCAGAGAGTTTATTTTAACATCTCTGTTTTGGTTATGAGAGAGTTCAGTTTAACACATCTGTTTTGATTACTAGGAGGATAGTCTAGGAAATTGTTTATAGATTGCTCGGAAGAGTGGGAAATTGTTTATACTATCTGGGGATACTTAAGAGTGGAGATATTGAAGGGATGTTACCCTTTTTGGTTTGAGTACAGCAGAATTTACAGTTAAAGTTTTCAGTGTAAGACCTAGGATATTTGAATTATTGAGATATTATATTGAGGAACATTAAGACATTGTATTTACAATTTTTAACCGTTTGTTCAATTTTAAATACTTTCCCTTGTCACCTTCCTGAACCGAATTGTAAGGAAAAGAGCCTTTTATCACTTTCATAATATAAAATAAAATTTAGGGTTGCACAAAAGAGGTTTTGGTGTATGTCCCCTTAAGTTTTGTTTTGTAGTGAAATGAAATTAAATAACCATGCCCCATGTTATTTTAAAGTCTTACTATTTTAGCAATGATTGGTTTTATCTCCCTCTTCCTATTCCTGTCCATGATGATTCCAGGAGCAGCTGACACAGCACTGAAATTCAGTGATGACAAATACAGTGTTGTTTCATTTCCTGTTGACATGTCCCCACTAGTGGAACAATTCTCCTTCTGCGTTTGGGTGAAAAGAATTAGACCTGGAGACTGGCCAGTTGTATTTGCCTATGAAGAATCCGAGCTGTTCCTTTACGCAACAGGCGCGCCTAAAATGTTTAAGGTGGACATGCCCTTAAGTAACAACAAACCTCCAATGTCAACCTGGTACCATTACTGCGGAACTTGGAGTCTTGCATCAAAAACCTTCAAAGGATACATTAACGGAGCACTAGTGGTGACCCAGACCATACCTGCAAGGTTCCTAAAGACAAGCGGCAACATGGTTCTAGGAGATTATTGGAATCCTTATGCTAGAGGGGCGTCCTATAACGACTTTGGAGGTGAGATGTTCAATCTGAACTTCTTCTCGAATGAGCTGACAGGGGGTGAGGTAGCAGCAATGTCAAAAGACGGTCTCTGTACACAGGTTGGATTTGATGACACCAGAGTGATCAAGTGGGAGGAACTACTGACAAAGCCCAAGATGGGAAATGTCCAGGATATTTCCCTAGATTGCCCTGTAAGTATAAGCTTTGTAAGCTCTGTAATAACATGTAAATTGGTTTTCTAGACTCTAGACTTTCCAGTCTAATGGGCGGAGGGTGTTTTTTGGAAAAGCCATGGTACTATGCTGATTTGAAAAAGAATTACATTTGATATTGACTAGGTGTTTTTCATTCACTAAATTTATATTTCTGCAGGACATCAAGGATGAACTCGAGAACAGTGCTGAATGTGAATCGGATCTAAGCAACATAAAGGCAGAAATGGAAAACATAAAGTTGGAACTACAAGAAGCAAAGAAGGAACTCGAGAACGGAGCTAAACGTGAATCGGATCTGAAAACCATAAAGACAGAACTAGAAAAGGAACTCGCGAACGTTCCTGAATGTGATCTCCAAAAAGGAAAGCTGACGAGATGGGATGTTTTATATTCCTGCAACTTCTACAAAAAGACCTTTACTCGAAAACTTCAAAAGAAATTCCGCAAAATGTGGTCGAAGACAAAGGGACTATTTGGGGAACAGTTGACTGACGAAGCCATAGAAAAGTTCAAAGATCTTCACAAGCAAGCAGATGACAATTGTGGAACCGATTAAAGGACTTTTATTTCATTACCATTTCTCATTAAAAACTGAACTGCTACATTTGATTAGACAGGGTTACAGTCAAGATTTCAAAATATTGTTTTTGCTTATATCATAGTGTTCTAGTTATCTTCTAAAATTATCCCAGCCACTACAGCTCATGATTTTGTTATTTGTGTCAAAATTAATTTCATGAATTAAAATTATTGCTATGTAGTCGAATGGTCAAAAATACGGTTTTTGAAATTGGATTCAGAGACAGTGCATTGCAATTATACGGGCCAGAAATTATAGAATATCATAAATTCATACTAATTAATACTTATTTCAACAAAACTACAGTTATCTCATTAAAGAACAAAAATGTCTTGACATCACTAAGTAAAACGAAATTTTCCTACGTACCGTTTTAGTCTCAGCGGCGGTTGCTTGGTGCAGGGGGAGAGTCCCCAAACCCACCAAATCCTCCAAACCCTCCAAATCCTCCTTCGTCAGCTGGCCCACGCTTCTTTTCTTCATCGTGACGAATATTGAACTCTCGCAATGATCCAGGAGTGTATTCCATCGCCCTGAAGGAAATTGGGACAGACATTCTGAATTCAAACAGAAAGATAATAATGATGAACGCTAAGATACAAATTTTGATCAGATGAAATTTAAAAAACATAGTTAAGGGAATTTAATTGCCTGTCAGTGCTATATCACTGGGGGGTCGGTTGCTGTGGTGGCGAGAGGATGCAATTGCTGGGTGGTGCTCGGTGATGCTGTCTTGTGGCAGGGTCATCTGTGTGTCACTCACGGTTCACCATTTTGTCCAAGTCTTGGTTGCCCTGTGTAATCGAGCATTTGCTTGGTGATCTTGTCTCTGACATGATCACTTACGGTTTAATTTTGATTCCCTATGGGCTTCAGAAGCTCTTCATGCTTTAATTTAACGTATCGAACCTAACCACCAGCTTGCTGGTGTCTGGACGGAGCGCTAACTTCTTGATGTCGGTGCTGCCTCTGGATCGGGTGCGAAGGTCCGGCAAACCATCCACCTTAAATCAAACCGCTACAGAAACGTCTACAGTGTCATTCAATAGTATTATACGTGGAGGCGCAGGTGGAGTGATGACGGCGACTAGGCAAAGCCGAAAGGACCCTAGTAGCTTGATGTCTGTTTGCAACTCCCGTAAGAGCCGACGTAAACACTGTAAATACAGAATTCCTTCATCAGATTTGTCATTTGTAAACAGACAGTCAAGTATGTCTAATCCTGTAAATATTGTAAAGAATCCTCTCTGTATCAGTACATGGAATGTTACTTCTCTTGTCAGTAATTCCAGTAAGATGTATCAATTAGGAAAAGGTGTTGATGATTATGGACTAGAGCTCCTTGGGGTAACTGAAACACATATGGCTGGATCAGGAACTCAGACTTTGAGCAATGGGGCTGTTTTGGTTTATTCTGGCAGGAGCGATGGAGTACGGAGAGAAGGAGTTGGCGTTGTTCTTTCCAAAAAGATGAAGAATACTCTCATATCATACACCCCTGTATCAGGACGGGTTATGACTGCCCGTTTACATAGCAAACACATCAACATTAGTGTTACAGTTGTGTATGCTCCAACTGAGGATGCAGAAATCAGTTTAAAAGACTCATTCTACAAGGAATTGAATGATGTTCAATCGGGACTACCTGCTCATGATATAAAAATAGTTTTAGGAGATTTTAATGCTCGTGTTGGAAGGGATACTGATGCTCACCCTGGTGTTATAGGAAAACACTCATATCACACAGAATCAAATGATAACGGAAAACGGATGCTAGATTTCTGTACTATGCACCAGCTGACGATTGGAGGCACACTCTTTGAACACAAGGATATCCACAAGACAACATGGAGATCCCCAAATGGTAACACCGTCACTCAAATTGACCATATGTGTATTTCGACGAGATGGAGCCATTCTTTGCTTGATGTCAGGAGCATGAGAGGAGCAGATATAAATACTACTCACTATCTGGTTAGAGGATATGTATCTATTAAACTTAAGTGTCCTCAGAAAAGAAAGAAGCGTGTAAGACAGCCTGCTTTAGAGCACCTGCGTGATAGATCTAAGAGCCAGGAATATAGTAACAGAATAGCTGAAGAGTACTATAACAACGATCAGGAGCATGAAAACTCTCCTTTAGAAGAACAGTGGCAAAATTTAAGAGATATAATAACTGATGTTTCATTTGAAGTTCTGGGTGAAAGGGGCCGGAAAAAGAGAACAGAACATCTCTCAAGGGATACTAAGAATCTCCTAAAAGAACGAGGGGAGATTAAAAAGAAACCCAGTACTGCTGAGAACCGTGCTAAGTACTCGCGGATTAACGGTCTTGTTAGGCAGAACTGTAAAAGAGATGATAATGCTTGGGCTGTTAGAATAGCTGAGGAATTAGAAGATGCTGCCAAGCAGGGTCAACAAAGAGATGTTTGGCAGAAAATAAAATCCCTAACAAACAAGAGAGTAAACAGATCTGCGGCAGTGCGGGATAAGAATGGGACGCTTATATCAGATCCCGAAGCTCAATCACATCGCTGGGCCGAATATTTTGAAGAACTCTTGACGCCAGCAGCAAATGCGGTGGATTTCTCTATATTGGATCAGGATGAAAAGTTACTTTCTTTTGAATACCTTAGTAATGATGATGAACCACCGTCCTTGTTTGAAATTGAGGAAGCTATCAAGAAGTTGAAGAACTACAAGAGTGCTGGAATTGATGAAATTTCAAATGAGCAGTTAAAGTACGGTTCTCCTGGACTTCTGCCTTGGTTAAAGGATCTTTTTGAAACTGTGTGGAAAAGTGAGGATATTCCTAATGATTGGAGAAAAGGAATAATCACCATCATCCCAAAGAAAGGGGACCTCACATATTGCAACAATAACAGAGGTATAACTTTACGCTCAACTATATCAAAGTTATTCCAAATTGTGTTGTTAAAAAGACTGAGTAATGGGCTTGAAAAATTACTCAGAGAGAATCAGTGTGGTTTCAGGAGAAACCGTTCTTGTATAGATCAGCTGTACTCACTTCATTGTATAATACACAATTGTATAGAATTCAACGTCCCTTTGTACATAAACTTTATTGATTTTAAAGCTGCTTTTGATTCAATCAATCGTGACTTTATTTGGAAAGCTTTTGAACATTATGGTCTTCCGACAAAATATATCAATGTTTTCAAAGCGTTCTTTAGAGCAACTGAAAGTGCAGTTCGTGTCAATGGAGAATTGACAAGATGGTTTGATGTCGATTCGGGGACTGGACAAGGTGATGTGCAAGGGCCCCCTATTTTTAATCTTGTACTTAACTGGGGATTAGAACTTGCAGAGAAGTTTAAGAATATATCCCGTGGTTTTACACTTCAGTACAGACAAAGTTCCAGACAACCGGAAAAATGTGTCATTGATCTTGACTATGCTGATGACATCGCAGGAATGGATGACACTGTTGAAGGACTGCAAGAAACTACGGACAATATTGCGAAATACTGTGGACTTGGGGGTTTAAAGATGAACGCAAAGAAAACAGAGATCATGGTCATTGGGAAAGATACATCGCAGCACCCACTCCCAGAGAATAGGACCATAGATATAACTGTCGATGGAAACTCTGCAAAGCAGGTCACTCAATTCACTTATTTGGGTGCCAAAATTACATCAGATGGCAAGATTGATAAAGAAATAAGTGTCAGGATTGGAAAAGCAACCGGAGCTTTTAACCAACTCAACAACATTTGGAAGAATAAGAACATAAGCATTAACAACAAAGTGCGAATCTACATCGCAGCTGTTCTTACCATTCTGACCTATGGATGTGAGATATGGAACACGACTCAAGTGCAGACAAGAAGATTGGAGTCTTTCCATCAGTACTGCTTAAGAAGAATCCTGAGAGTGAGGTGGTTCCATCGAGTAAGTAATGAGGATGTTTTAAGAAGGGCATCAATAACTGCCCTTGCTGACATAATAACAACAAAACGGCTGCGTTGGTTTGGACATGTCAGTAGAATGCCTGAAGATCGGTTGCCCAACTATTTACTTGAATGGAAACCCAAGCATGGGAAGAGATCAAGAGGCAGGCCTAGGAAGAGCTTAAATGATGTATTCATTGAGGATGCTGAGCAGAGATTGGATCGTAATGGACTCACGATTGATTGTATGAGAAGATTAGCTGCAGACCGAAAGGGATGGAGAAATGTTACCCGCCGAAGCTGTATAATACAAAGTAATGACGCAGTCGACGCAGACTAATCCTTTTGGATGGAGATCTCGCCATGTAACATGTATGTAAGGGAAAATTACTGTAAATGAATCTGAATGACAAAACAATTGATGTCTTAACTCTTACCTCTCTGGTAACTCATCATAAAGAAATAGTGGAACTTTGGGCTTATCCATTATAGACCCTGCTGGTAGTTTAGCCTGGATCGTGTCCAACCTCCTAATCCAATCCTCTGTCTCGGTGATCATCTGTCTCGTAGTAGTGCAAATTATAGAAGTTCATTTTTGTCATGTAAATCTGAAGGAAATTATAAGTTAATTAGACGGTATAAAGAGTTCGATAATTAATCTCTTTTAATCCAAAGACCCACACTAAAAGGTCTCCGACAGTCAACATGTCTTCCGAGCTCATTTACGTTTTTCTGCCGATCTCAATACAAGCCTTCTACAGCAATGCTGTCGCGCGCACACGTGTTGCATAACCAAAGATAAAACAGACTAAAGTTACATTTAAAAAGAAAAATGGCCAATCTTCTGAGCGTTCACTTAAAACTCATTTCACGTTCTGAATGCCATGGATGAATTACTAGTACTAGTAGTGTTTAGTAGGTAATCGTACTGTAGTGTGACACGTACTGTAGTGCGACACGTACTCTAGTGCGAAGTCCGAAAAAAACACCCTCTGTCGCACTAGGGTACGTGTCGCACTACGATCCAGGTAGCGTACTCTACTGCGACAAAATATCCTGACTTATTTCCAAGTTCAGGTCACATCCTATCCTTCTTATGGACCATTAAGTGATTCGTCGGGTCGGTTCATGTCACTTATTTTGAAGTGATCTTGCGAATACGATGGTAAATCAAATTTGTTTTAATACTTTCAACACTACTATATAAC